CATAAAGATTTTGAGATCTAATAAGGCTTAAATGAGTGACACTTTCATCTCTTTGATAAGACAAAAGCATCATAATACTGAGTTTTACTGAAAATATTCTTAAATGGGACAACTCATTGTAATCAACCATAGGAGGAGTTTTTACAAGCATATCATGGGTAGGAGCAACCTATAGTAGTGTTGTTAGTTTATTAGGACTAATGATTATTGTATCTTACTCAGAAAATATTTTGCAAGGTGGTAGTACTTTGTTGCCTCGATGATTAATTTTAAAAATATATTTTGTTGTGGCATCTACCAACTACTCCATAACTTCTTGGAATTCTTTATGAGATTGTTCAGTTAGAAGATTTTATCCCAATCTCAATAGGTATACCTTAAATAATTGATAACAGGGATATTACTATCAGAAAAGGGATCGTCACTTTATTATCATAAAGTTCTTCAGTAAATTTAGTAATGACTTGAGAATTGTTTTCATTTGGATTATTAAGATTATTGCTATTAGTAATATTCAAGTTAGTCGAATGATGTTCCTTCAAAAAGATTAAACGTACTTAAAACCACTACTATTTTATTAACTTTAATGCAAGCTTGAATTCCGACTTGACTTCTCTTTCTTCAAGAACTACAAGGGTACCTGGTTTGATAGATACTTGAGATCTTTCAGAAGCTTGTATGGATAACTTCTGGACATGATTGATTATCTTTCATGATTTCTTAGATAACTTCACCAAAGACAACACTAATGGAGCCTTAGCTTAGTTATTTTAGATATTCTCCAGGCTTTGCAACAGTGATATGGTTTTTAGCTCCAAAAAATATTTTTATAAATAACTCTTCCAACTTAGCAAACATCTTGACCAAGCCGTTAGGCAGTTCAACATACCAATCAAATGATGTTACAGATAAACTATTGACAAACTAATGAAATAATAAGGCATTGCTTCCTCTAGCATTGTAGCAATAGGCATGAAAATGGGTTAAATGTTATTACTAGTTTCTAGTTCTATAAAAAACTTTGAAAGTAGATGGTATAAATCCTTTGGCGCATTAAGCAACATTAAACTATTTTGGGTACAATCATCTTTTAGGCACTGATGTATCATCTTGGGCTTGATATAATGCATCATTTACTTTCTAATAAAAAAACATATTACAGGTCTTTTTCAGGAATCGATCATGATTCTAACTGTTACTTGGAGACTTCTTAGCAATTTTTGTCTTTGAGCTATGAACTACATGAATAGCCTTAGGTTTCTCCACTTCTATATGTACTGGAATTTGAGCTGGAGTTTTCTTTTGAATAAAAGGTGCTGATTTCAGTAACTCTATCATCCTATTTTCTAATCTTTCAATGTGTTCATCTCTTTATCTCAACTTACCAATTGGTGTTGAATAATATTAGATGAGCGACCCTCTTCAATTATTACATCTTGGTGATGTACTAGACTTAGGACTGGTTTTAATTTGTTGGAATAACATTCATTCTGGTTTTAATTTGTTGGAATAACATTCATAACCTCCTCCATCCACTTCTCATGTCTTTATATGAGTTCATCCTTCTATCTTAATTTATTTAAAAGTTGTTGAGCTACGTCCTGATGCTTGAGATTGCTGCAAGGCAACTTGGTCAATCACTAAGTATATCTGTCGATAACCGTAATCCAATAGGTAGCTTACACCTAGCTAAGAGGGTGCTTCAAGATGCTCTTGAATCTCATCATTATCAATCTCTGACCATCTCTGAAGAATCTTGGAGGCCGTTTGTGATGTAGTTGACGATGTTGAACTTTTCTCTTGAATTGGGTTGTGGCGAGAGGTAGGTTGATACCTCTGCTTGGTTTGATTGGCTTCAGCCTTTAGTCCTGATGGCTCACATACGATCAACCTCTAGCCTTGATTTAGGAGAGCTGTACATAGTTAAATAGGTCCCATAGTCTTCTTCCAATGAGTCTTTTGATCTTTTGTAAGTCGATCCTTTGGTCTTCCATCGATGGGTCCTTTGATTTTCTGTCGGTGGGCCCTTCTTAGCTAGAGTCTTTTGTACATTTTAGTCCACTAATTTTCTTGAGATTCGTGTAGACATGCATCAAATGTACATATATATATATATATAAACAAATTGTTATGTGCCAAATTGGAGCAATCATATTCTTTGTGTGTGTGTGTGATAAATTTAGTTCTCCTCATGATATTATTAATGATTTGTGCCTTTAAATAATCTAATTTAGAAGGTGTAGGAAATTTATTTGAAATAGATTTTGCTCAATTTTTATTACATACATAACTTGTTATGACTTATTATAGTATATAGGATTGTTAGGATAAGTGAGAGAAAAATTTATGGGTGATCTATGAAATAAAAATTGAATTTCAATTGATACGGCAAAGAGCTTGAAACACCTCTAAGAAAAAAATAAGTAGACCAAGCAATGAGCATGTTCTAGTAAAGTTTGAATGATTGTGGTTGAGAACAACAAACAATCTCAACAAGATTAACAACTTGAACTATTCAAACCAAAGCATCAAAATATTTGTAATGTTGAAATTTTTAGTGTTAATATTAACTTAAAAATTTATAATCACATTGCATATTTGCATCACATTATTGACCATTAATTCATTAAGGGAGTCCTACCCGTTGAGCAAAAATGTAAGATATATTCGTTTTTCATACAAGTTAGCCTATCTTGATTATATAAGGATTTAATATTGACTTTAAAATTTAGGTGAAGTTAGAAGAAAACACTTCTTTAAGGATATAAGTCATATTATGAACTTTCATGACACATATTTTATTATGATTACATGTGTACGAGGATATTCACCTAACAACAAGTCCATTCATCTTCTAATATTAAGCATTTTCTCTCACGTTGCAAAGGAAATTTAAATTAAACCTTATTTCTTAAATAAATTCATTCAGTTTTTTCTAAAGATAGATGCTAATCAGTTTTCTTAATTTCTAAGTAATCCACACATTATGATTGTCCAGATCCGTATTTTTACACCATCTTGCAGATATCATCATATCATCTCTATGTATAATTGATTTGTCTCATCATTGAGCCTTATTTGCTTCACAATTACTTAAGCTTATATCTTTAAAATTGCCACCAAAATCTCCTATGTATAAAATAAAGAATACAAAAAAGTACCCTTAAGAAAGAGTATATCTAGTCTTGCACCGAAAATATTATTAACTTTGTTGGTTTGCATTAATGAAAATTTGTATACCCCAATCATTAAATTCACTGTAAAATTTCATGTAATTGCAATAAAATTCTTATAAAACTCCTCCCGTCCTATAATTTATTGATTATTACATTAGATGTAATGTCCAAAATTAGTTTTCATCCTCCAAGATGATACAATATGAAATTTTATCATTGAGGCTCTCTCAAATCTAACATAAACTTTATTTTATACAACACCTAGAAATTTAAATGGTGATATTTCATTATCTTACAAGAATAAAAAAAAGCACATGCTTGAGAACTCGAAAGTGAAAGAGATTGGAAATGTAAATAGTTTAGAATAATCCATACAAAAATGAAGAGCTTCACCACATTAAAAAAAAGAATTATGATGGTTTAGTTGAGCAAAATATACTCACTTTAAAGATCAGTCGAAATAAATATTCAGTATTTCAAGAAGAGTTGAACGCAAATACTAAGCCATATAGCTTCAAACATGCTTTCTCAGAAAAAAATAGAGAGAATGCATATTAAAAAAGTTTAATTTAGAGACCTTTACTCTTACTATGATTTTAAAGAAATTAGAAATTGCAATATGTGGCAATTAGATGTGTATATCAGCCAAGTCAACGCTGGTTCATGCTTCGCTCGATAAATGGCTCGTGAGAACAACTCAAAACACTAATAAGCCAAGCTCAAGCTAGCCCTTACTCGACTCTTTAGCACGTGAGTCGGCTTTTTAAAAGAAACTAAAATAAAATATACTCAGAATATATTAAAATTTTAGACTTTAAGTTATTAGAAATATTTTTAAAAAATATATATTTTACATCTAATATCAAGTGATTTTTAATTATTTCCTAATTCCTCCTTTCATATCAACTTATTATAACATTAGTGTTGATTGATATTATTTTTTCTCTTCATAATAAATAATACAACTCAAACTCGTAGGACTAAGATCAAGCTCAAGCTCTTGCCAAGACTACCTCGAGCTTTTACACTCCTACCGACAATAAGGGAGGGAGGGGAAAAAAATATTACATACTTCAGACGTAATTTGCGTTCGGAGTCCGATGATGTGGTGCCACATGTCAAGTGGACCGCTGTAATACACTGAGATTGGTCAGTGCGAGGGAGAGAGCCAAACATTTAGGAAGCTTTTAGCAGTTGATCTCATAACCTCTCCTCCATGGATTTGGAGTCCTGATATAATATTTTTTCGGAGGGAGGGAGGGAGGAAGGGAGGTAGTCAAAAATTTAGGAAGCTTTTAGCAGTTGATCTCATAGCCTCTCCTCCACAAAATTTATTTTATTTATATTGTTTTATTTTTATATTAAATTACACAGGTTTGTATTTTATGTGATCTGCCTTTTATTTGCTTTTTGCTAACAGGCGTTACCATGATTCCAATAAATTTTATTCACCAAATAACCTCTACATTTGTTAATTTTCTTAGATGCATAATTGAGCGTTCATTCTCATATTTTACCCAAAACATTCAGATAATGAGTAAATTACGGAGTGTGGGCCCACAATCCACAAATTTGACCCGTCGCTCTTTTATCCATTCGGAGACGGAACGCGCAGCGCTAAAAACAAAGTGCGGGCCCACCCCTCGTCGCTTGTACTGGATTTGATTAACTTGCTAATCCATTGGTTCGCTCGTCAATTTCTGGGTTTCTTCTTCGGTGACTTTTTTTTTTTTTTTTTTTTTTTCGGCGGGGAAAGGGGTT